TCTTGTATCACTAACATGTCAAGATTTGAAAGTTGTGATTGAAGGGTATCTAGTTAAAAACTGGCATTAGGTTTGGAAATATTAAATATGTTTTCATATATTTTTTTTTTGGTATGTGAAATATTTTGCTATTGCAATTTATGTATCAAATAAAGGTAAGTTTAACATCTGGTTTGCCATTTGACTGAATTACTGTTTGCAAAATAATTTGGTCTAAAACTTGATGTGTCACCAGAATGACAGATGTGGAAATCACTGAGTGAAAATTTAAAAAAAAGGGGAGGGAGGGGGGTGTTTAGTTGAGTTAGCCATAGATCAAAGTACATATGTTCCTGCAGTGAGACACCATCATTATCTGGAGGTGACTTAATAATCCATGCTGTAGTTACTATACGCTGTCAGTTTTAGTTGTTTAGTGTGTTATGTGTTATCTTGCTTCTACTTCTTTCTTTTGCATCAATAAGTGTCAGTCAGTGCACCACATTATGTAATTTTCTATATTAAAACTTTTGGCTCTCCTTTCAATACCGGACGGGGGCTGGACGGCTTAGTTTAGTTTAGGTGGAGTTCTCTCCCTTGGCCGCACTGGAAACAGTGAGCGGAAAAGTGACGAATCAAAGAAGACAGTGAGGTCGACATCAGGGCTGCCAATGCTTGGTTGTGTCCCCCAGATCTGTTTTTTTTTTTTTTTTTGACGCTGCGGGGAAATCTGGGTTTTGTGTTTTTTGTGTGGTTTTTGCCGATGTGTATGCTTTAATGGCCGATAAATTTGCGTGGTTAGGGGTAGGGTTAGGGTTAGGTTTAGCGTTAGATGTGACAATTGTGACGCAGGTGTTTCCTATAATCGCGCAGTCACATACACACCCAAACAGTAGACGGACTGTGGGTGCTACGGACAATTCGCCACCGATTGGGCACCAGCCGCGCGCTATTGCCGTCATATTTGGCAGAATTTCATTGGCGCCACTCCCACAAGCATCAGATTGTCGGCCAGTATTTGGAACTCCTACGTCAAAATTTTCACATCTAACCCTAACCCCTAACCCCCAACCCTACGCAACCCTACACGCAACCGTATGATGATAGGCAACCCTACACGCAAGAGTATGATGACTACGCAACCGTATAATGACTACGCAACCCTACACGCAAGCGTACGCAACCCTACACGCAACCGTATGATGATAGGTAAGTATGTCATTTGTTTCGTCACTTTTCCGCTCACTGTTTCCAGTGCGGCCAAGGGAGAGAACTCCCACTAAACTGAACTAAGCCGTCCAGCCCGCGTCCAGCCCTTGTCCGGTATTGAAAGGAGAGCCAAACTTTTTTATCATAATTCAGTTCATTTAGGAACAATGTGTCATATTCAGACTAAGGAGAGGACGCAACAGACTTCCTCAGAATGTGTTCCAAGTTTTATGGTGTAGGAAATACAGAGATGTGTTCCTGCAACTTGGCATCAGACAATGTTGAGCATGTACTCTTAGCACTCTAAACTGTAGGCTGCTAACAGAGAGGCAGTCTGTCCTTTTCCAGCCTCATTGAAGACAAAGCTGTATGGTAAATGGAAAGATATAGACTGCATGATAGCTTTCATCAAGACTGCGGGCCTCCTATTATACATTTTCTGACAGAAGGATCAAAGAACAAGAAGAATATATTTTTATTTTTTAAGTGCAAAGTGCTATTAGATCATTATGGTGTGGAGAGTATGGCAGAGAAGTGAGGGACCAGGGATCTGGCTGACACTACACTCAAGAGCAGACAGACATATAATCTACCTGTAGGATTTCTGAGCTAGACTGAATTGGTGTTTAAAATCTACCCATATCTTAACTCCAGGACGTTATCACCTAGTTCTGCAACTACTATCCTGGCATCAAGCTTGCTTCTACTATTTCATTGTCATTGGTTAATTTATTGGACCTCAAAGTCTGTGTGGGTGCCTCAGGCTTCTGCATCTCTGTCTTCTATGAACTTAGTAACTTGTGTTCTTGTCTTCTCTAAACCTCTTTCGACTTTCCCTCTTGCAAGAATAATGTACCATTGTCTTAACTCCTGTGTCTCCAAGATTAAGCCAGGACATTGACTGTTTCTTTTGTTAACTGCCAACTGCCATTACTGCCCATATTTACCACTTGTGTGTGTGTGTGTGTGGGGGGGGGGTGGGTGGTATTTGAGTCTGAGGATTTAGGACCACTGGACTAATGCAGTCACGACGAACTGTGCAATTTAAGATTTAATTTTCACCTAACAGAAAAATCCCATAACCTTATAGAGAACTTGAACCTGGCTCCCCACATGAGAGCTCAGCCGCCTTAACTGTTCAGCCAGCCGCTGCTAACTTTTGTTATAAAGCCCACTGAGTGTAGCGTTTTTTTTCCTCTATTTGTGTCTTTTCACTTGCTGTCTGTTAACTCATTCAGAACCAAGAAACTTGCCATGCATTCACTGATTTCTGCTTACATGGTATGCTTGTCATAACTCAAGGTGTCTCATCCAACTGTTTTATTAATTCTAGTCAGTCTCCTTTACGTCTTTAACTTTTCAATGTCATGATTTGAACTCCTTTAGATATGACCATCAACTTAAAGTAACAATAATTTCAAACAGAATGCAACTAACATAAAACAGCAATCCTGGAAAAGTTAGTTGTGTCATGGCACTCTCCACCAAGCTAAAGGCAAAAAAAAAAATAGACCATTCTTTATCTGAAACTGCCCTCACATCATAGTTGAAAATGTTTAAAAAAAAATTTTGGGGGAATCTTTATGTTTTTATCATCTCCTGGCTTTCTGTGAAGCTGCCAAACTCTGTTTGTCTGGTTCAGTTTGTTGCGCTTGATTTGTATACTATTTCCCAATAAGCTTTAATGCTGAAATTTGTCACATGCATGCCTTATGGATGACATTGCAATGTGGTGAAGAAATATTCTGACAATGTTTGCTTCTTTGTGGTAATTTTTAATGTCCAAGTGTTTACAAAAATATTTATTTTATGTTGATGTAACTCTGTAGTAATGCACCTGATGAGATACAGCAAAATATGCCTGGCAATAAATTGTAAATTTGAAGTTACCCTGGTAGGTCACGTGACTACGGCGAACTTCTGGCGGCCTTGAAACAGACACAATGTATCGGAAGAAACTGTTCGCATTTCAGTTGAATTTATTGAGTTTTGTGCTTTATTTTATGTTGATGTAACTCTGTAGTAACGCACCTGATGAGATACAGCAAAATATGCCTGGCAAAAAAATATTTATGTCAACGGAAAAAGTCACTTCCTCCAAGGGAAACAACCTATACAATTTTTAGATAAAATTGAGTTGATGTCTGTGCTATTTTTTAAAACAGCAAATCGAGCATATTTTTCGTTATTATTTGTTTTAATTAGCACACTGTCTGCGTGGGTAACGAGTTCAGCTTACTTTCTTATGGTTTCCAGGTTGGTTGGGGGGGGGGGGGGGCTCTTCTCAGATTAATACCATGGGTAGATAAAATACATTTTCTAGAGCCAGCTGTTTTTTTTTCAAATCAGGCGCATGCATTATTTTCTTGTTAAAGGTACCGGCTTAGAAAGCCATGAAAAAAACAGGTGTCGGGTAAAGAAAAATTTCAAAACTGTGGTGACCTGATGCTCTGACTTTGTTTACTGCTAGTTATTATCATTGGTTTATGATTACTGCCACTAAGTTGTTGACATGTACCTCAGCCCATGACATCTTCCATGGCTATCAAAAACAGGATTGCTTGTCATTCTTCATGAAAGAAAAGTGTGGGTGTTTGTTTAGTTTTGTTTAAAATATATAGAAACAAATCAGTCTTAGCAAAAAGTATATCTAATAGATAGAGTTCCCCTCCCCCACCCCACATGATGACTTGGATGTTATTTGAGTCCTTAGAGAAAGTAAAGACTGATAACCCTGCACTCTGCATAGTGTGTTGTAAGACCAAGCAATTAAGGTTGAGGTTGGCTACCCCATCCTGTAAAAAGCTTCAGCTGTAAAAGAAGAATTAGACTAAAATGGAAACAATGCAGTGTTTTCTGAAAGGAATTTATTAAACTGCTGCACCTGCAAGTCATTAGGTAGCTCAATATTTAAATGCAGGAGCTTTTGTTCATGCTAGAATGAGACATAGTTTAACCCTTTTTCGCCTGAGAAGCCACAAAACCAACACATCCATTTGGTGCCATTTTCCTATAAGTGCCGCTTTCCTGACTTGCTATAGAGACGTGTTTACAAGTCAAGATGTCTTATCTAAAAATTCATTGCCTCTGCACAAGTTTTCAGGGTGACAGAATTAATTGCATCCACACAAATGTTCAGCATGACAGAATTCATTGCATCTGTAAACAAGTTCAGCAAGACAGAATTCATTGCACCTTCATCTGCACAGATGTTGATCATGACAGAATTCATTGCACTTGGATCTGTACCTGGATCTGGATCTGTTCAGCAAGACAGAATTCATTGCATCTGTTCCTTATGTGGGTTCCAGGGCCCTATTATAGGGAAAACAAGAATAAACCCACTGCCTACCAAAAAGCATGTCGTAAGAGTTGACTAATTGGGAGCTTCCTTCGAAGTCGGAGTGCATCTGCTTGAGAGGCAAGGAACCAGTAGTCTGCATGCAAATGAGTCAGATCTGTGAAAGGGATGCACACGCAACACTCAGGTTCTGGAACAGGACTGCAGTCTAGAAGTGGATAAACAACCAGAACTTTCTGCCAGCGTTTACAGCTGGTGAACGTGAAGAAGAAGAACAAGATTGCATCTGCTAATCTGCACAAATGTTTAGCATGACAGAATTCATTACATCTGCAAGTGAGATGTGTAAAATAGTTGGGTTTTTGTGTGTGAGGATTTTGTTTTTGGGAATTTCTTAAAATTTGAAATTACTGGAGCTTGGCTTTGTTATTTCAAGGTCACTAGAGTGAAATGGTTAAGTGGTTGTTTGCCTCCTTTAGCAAAATTTTGTTTATATCTTTGCAGGATTACAATGGCAGATGCAGGCTTAAATTTTGGGTTGCTTTCATACTTAAGGGCTCAGTACCCTTTAGTTTCTAGTGCCACAGTTGTAAATGTCATGAACAAGGTAAGACAGTTATTTTATACACTGTTTCATGTGTAACATGGGTCTCACACAGTTCATGTGTAACATGGGTGTCACAGTTTATGTGTAACATGGGTCTCACATATGGTTTATGTGTAACATGGGTCTAACATATGGTTTATGTGTAACATGGGTCTCACACAGTTTATGTGTAACATGGGTGTCACAGTTTATGTGTAACATGGGTGTCACAGTTTATGTGTAACATGGGTCTCACATATGGTTTATGTGTAACATGGGTCTAACATATGGTTTATGTGTAACATGGGTCTCACACAGTTTATGTGTAACATGGGTGTCACAGTTTATGTGTAACATGGGTGTCACATTTTATGTGTAACATGGGTCTCACATATGGTTTATGTGTAACATGGGTCTAACATATGGTTTATGTGTAACATGGGTCTCACACAGTTTATGTGTAACATGGGTGTCACAGTTTATGTGTAACATGGGTCTCACACAGTTTATGTGTAACATGGGTGTCACATATGGTTTATGTGTAACATGGGTCTCACATAGTTTATGTGTAACATGGATCTTATACAGTTTATGTGTATCATGGGTCTCACACAGTTTATGTGTAACACGGGTCTCACACAGTTTATGTGTAATACAGGTCTCACAAAGTTTACGTGTAACACGGTCTCACACACAGTTTATGTGTAGCACGGGTCTCAGTCTCACAAATGGTTTGTGTGTAACATGGGTCTCACACAGTTTATGTGTAACATGGTTCTCACATTTGGTTTATGTGTAACACGAGTCTCACACAGTTTATGTGTAGCACAGGTCTCACACAGTTTATGTGTAACATGGTCTCGCACACATTTTATGTGAGACATGGGTCACACACAGTTTATGTGTAACATGAGTCACACAGAGTTTATGTGTAAATGTGTCTCACACATGGTTTATGTGTAACATTGCTCTCACACATGTTTTTATGTGCAACATGGGTCTCACACACCTTTTACTTTTGACATGGTTCTAAAACACATTTTTCTTGTGACATTACCTCTGTGCATTGGATGCATTGTCCACCTTCGTCTTAGTGTTGAGAGTTAGTCAGATCCCCCGGTCACTCCCCCAACTATTCTTCAAAGACCACAATGATCTATTTCTCCTTCCACGGTGTTCTCACTCCCAAAGTACCGATCTGTCACACCAGGCTATTTTCTCTGCTTGTATGAGGAGGAGAGCTGAAGGACTCAGTCTTCATGGCACAGTTCAAGGATCTTGGTTGGGTGAATTATTTTTACCCCAGTCTCTTTCTTTTCATTTACCAGCTGTAAAAAGGTTTGCATGCACATTTATTTTACAGATCCGGCTTGTGTGCAGACTGTTGGTTCCTCACCACTCAGGCAGATACACTCTTGACTTCAGAGGCAACATCCATATTAATCGACTCTTATGACATGCTTGTTGTTGACAGTAGGTCTATTCTTTCTTATGTTCTCCACAGTGGGGATCCGGGACTCACATAGAAACACCAGTCTTATTTTGATAGATAGTAATTGATTAGGATTGATTATCATCGCGGCACTTTAGACAGATCCATTGGTGCAATATAGCAGCCATCTTGTAAATAGTTACAACATATTTACATCTTAGGATGAACACAGAAGAAGAAGATACATTGGTGCTCCATTCTCCTTCTCAGTGAGCTCCACACATATTAGGTGACTGATCCCAGGAAGGCTAACCTGGTCAACAAATACCCAAAGAAGAATGTATTGGCCGAAAGGCGCAGATATCGCAGGCCTGCTGTAAACTGGCACAGTGCAGTTGTATCTCCAGATGAATGCAGAAGAAGAAGAAGACTGATCACACTCATTCTGTTTTGATTAGTCAGACATCTTGTGCCCTTAGTGAAATGTTTATGTCTGGCTGCTCTAGGTCGCACTCCCATATCTACAAACCTGGATGAGGATACTGAGCCTTGCTTGTTGTCGTTATCTTCTTTGCGATATTCATCTTGCATGACATTAATGACATCACTACTGTCCAGTGCCAGACCAGTCATCGTGACCAACTTGCTCGTTAGATAATTTTCGTGCTCATAGTAAGGAAATAAAGGACCCTTTTCACTCCAGTTTTGCATCTCGCCTGTAGTGATAAACCTTTATTTCTAATAGCCCAACTGGCATCAGATGTTTGATATGCTCAACATTACACTAGTTGCCTTGACTTCCTAGAAGATTACACATGATACCCATTGTGAGCCAAACCCAGTTTTGATAAAGATTTGCCTCAGGATGCAAAATCAAACCCATGAGCCTGTGCTACCATGGTTGCCTCATTTTGGTAGGTGCAAACTGTTCTCAAGCAAAGATAACCTGAACTGTGACTTCTTTATCTTTTCAGTACAACAACGACCAAGAGAAATGCAAACGAGCTCTGGATTTTGAAGCTAGGAGAGGATTTGGGTCGTCAAGCATGGAGTCGTTATCGGGCAATAATAACAACAGCAGTGTGGATAGTTCCGGTGAAGGGAAATCAATCACAGCCCGTATTAAAGAGCTTCAAGTGTCTTGTGACAGTGGATCACAGTTGAAACATGGTAACCCAGAACGACATATCAGCAAACTTGAAAGATCTGTTGGTAACTTGACACGGCCTACAGAACAAGCTAAACGACCATTGGTAAGTCAGTCTGTGTCATTCACTGTGCAGACTCCGGGTGGGTTGTCGTCTGCAGAAACTCAGACAAAAACTAACTGGGGGTCGACCAATAATTTGGCCACACCTCAGACGGCACCACCCGATTTCTCATCATTTTTCAGCCGCTCTGCAACCGATATTCCAAACATCAACTGCAGGACACATGGGGCATCTGGGTTTGGCTCGGGATCTGCGCCGCATGGATCTAAACCCAAACAGATTCCAGTAAACTCCTCATCAGCATCTAGCAGTCCACTAGAGCAGCGCCGCCCGGTGAAGGTAATCAACATTCCGGCAGGATCTTCATCTGGTGGTACAGTGTCTTCTTCTCTTGCCCACTCCAACCAACGCCACATCCATATGAATTTTGGTGACTCTGGTGGCAGATGCAGTATAGCCAAACCTCCAACACTGCAGCGCTATGGGTCTACCCCAAACATAAGCCAGCATTACAGAAGTGAAATCCACACTGAAGCACCAACACCACAACCAGTGCATTCGTCTAATATTGTTGTGAACGCCTCAAATCATACAAATTCTGTAACTTCAGGAAGGAAACTCAGTGATGCCTCGGGAAATGGCCGGAGGACACCAAATCCTCCTCTTTCACTAAACACCAGCAATAATTTCTCGTCTATTCTTGCGCCAGGCGGTGCTTATCCCTCAGGCAAACTCTCAACGCCCATACAGGCATCTTCTCCAGGAATTGCACATTCAAAGCCCGTCTTTGTGGATATCAAGAATGACCGGATGGCCAGTGCTCATATGCATGATGGCTATAACAGCACACACTATCCATCGGTTTATTATCCAGGGAACAGTGTGAGGTCTATGCCATTAAATTCGGGCCTTATGCCCAATCAGAATATGTCGTTTGGTTCTAATATCAGCCCTTTACCTAACTCTCACTTCAGCCCAGATTTTTCAAGTGCTGTGGATTTTCCTGCCAGCCATCGCCAGAATGAGTACCTGTATTCACAGAATCCACAACAGAGACAACCAGGCTTTCCTAGCTCATCTACCAACATGGGCCATCCTCCAAATTCAGGCTACAGCCCCAGCTCTTACTCACAGTTCCATCCGCCTGCCAACGTTGTAGGGTTTACGTTACTCTCTGGTCGCTTCCCAGGCCCGGCGCAAGGCCGTCTGGCAAATTACACTCACTACGGTCTCAGTTCAGGCTTTCCAATGGATACACACTTATCTAAAAGCCCCAGTGTAACCGAACACCAGCTGCTGAGCAGTCGAACAAACAGCCAGGATAGCGAGCACAGCATTGGTGTTGGGGGGGATTATGAAGCTGGATATCCTTTACACAGAGCTGTGGGCTCCCGTGTATCTAGTCTTAGCAGCTTGAGCTCGGACTCTTCTGGTCATGTAGAGGGAGTGACGTCTGGTTCACGGTCACGCTCAGGAAGTTTGCAAGATGAAGTGGAGTATATCCAAGGTAAAGATATTTGAGTTGAATAGTTCATCCAACAGAATTACATTAGTCCTTAACTTCATTATCATTATATTCTCTGTGTGGGTTCAGGGGCTGCATTGTTGGGAAGACAACAGTAGACCCACTGGCTCCCCAACAAGCATGTTGTAGGAGTCGACTAATTGGGAGCTTCCATCCAAGAGTACATCTGCCAGAGCGGCAAGGAACTACCAACTCCACACAAATAAGCCAGTAAAACAGATGTGCACGCAAAACTCAGACCCTGGCACAAAGTCCAAATGGACGAACAACCAGGACTTACAGCTGGTGAGCAAAGAAGAAGATTATCATTATATTTCCTTTTTTTTCGTATTAAAAAACTCAGCATATCTTCTTGTTTATCATCATCTTCTTCTTCTGTTTCCCCCCCCCCCTTGCTTCTGCCTTTTTATTATCTCCGTGAAGCATAAACAGGATATGAATAATGTCATAAATGTCATATGAAAGGCATATTATGAAGATGAATATGGTGAAAGGCGTGACTACGTATCCCAGTCTAAGTTGATGCATATGAGGGGTTAAAGCCTGGAGCTGCCAGATGGGAGCATTTCATTAGGGGAATATTGTGTTTAAATAATCACCACAGAACAGCCTTTATCAATTCTATTATGCTCCTGTTGAGATGAAGCACCTATGGATCTGTCCAAGGTGATGTGCTTATAGTCCTTGCTAAACACTATACCTAATGTAACTAGAACAACTTTTACACTGGAACCAAGAGGGTTGGAGGAAGAAAGGCAGACCACAAGACACATGAACGAACAAACAGAACTTTATTTTCAAAAGGTTACAGCTTGTGCAGGCATGCCAGGGTTCGTAGCCGGCCGGGAAATCTTCAATTAACCGTGAAATTGATTCCCCGACCAGGAACCTTAATTTTGACCTTTAAAAAGACATTTTGACCATAAGAAGCCGTGAATTTTGACCGCCGCAATGAGATCGTCGAAAGTCCTGCGATTTTTGGCAGTTAGTCTTTTTTGTTTGTTGTTGTTGCAATTTGGCTAGTTTTGGCTACTTTCATCTACAGTCATTTCAGGTACGAGGGCAGTTGAGTATCGACTATTTTCAGCTAGAATGGCTTGTTAAAAGCCAGGGAAGGGCAGGCTGTGTTGCAGCCCATGAATACACGGCCGTCATGTGTGCCTTTGTTTCTAGCGGGTCCTGCAGTACTAATAGTAAAAATAGCATTATGGCCGTGGTTTCTAGAAAGAATTACATTGGGGGATGGCGGGGCTAAGCAAAGTGATGTCAGCTGGATTTCCCAGTTCTATTTTTGGCTTGACAGTGTGTTAGGCGATCAACATTGTAATTTCCCCATAGTTTCCCTCTTCTGTTCTCACACCCTCACCCTTTCTCACTCCCTCCTTCCAGTCTCCTGCATTGTCTCTCTCTCCCCCCCCTCCTCTGATCTGTATCTTCTTCTTTTTCTATCTGTCTTTTCTTTTACGCTCTCATTTCCTGCCCCCCTTCCCCTTTCTAATTTTATTTCTTGTTTAAATGTTTACTATCCATAACTCTTTTCCTAGTAACTGTCAAATACACAGGAAGTTGTGTTATGGGGGGGGGGGGGAGGGGGGGGGGGGTCTTTCAGCATGAACTCGGTGGATATTTTCTTGTGATGTCAGTTTTGTCTTTTGATGTAGTGGGCCTTAATCTCTGTCCATCTCCCTACCTGCCCCCTCACATTTTGCCTACCTGCCCCCTAACTTTCTGCCTGTCTGTCACTGCATTCCTCTCTCTTTGTATTTGCCGCTCTCCTTCACTTCCCCCTCTCTCCATCTCTCTCTTTTTCTTCATAGCTTCAATTAGTGTAGAAGGTTATGTGTTGCCCAGTGCAGAACATTTTATGTCTACCACCTCCTTCCCGCACACGCATATTAAATATATATAGGGATGCCGGGTTCAATCCCAACTGCAGGCCGTGCGCCTTGCGTTGGTTTTGACAGTGGTATCAAGAAAGCCGACCATCCAGAAAGCAATAGCAAACTAATGGACATAAATTTGCCTAGAAAAACCACACAACAGCCAGGGGCTGTTGGGGTTGGTTCTGCAACATCATGTAAATGATATGCAACTAACCTGTTAAAAACACATTTGCCATCGCCCCCTCCCTCTCTTTCCCCCCCTCCCACAGTGATTACACCTGGGGGGGGGTGCACTCCTTCCTGCTACCTTCTTCTCTATTAGGTTAGTTGCGTATCCTTTATATACATAATGAAATAATGCATACTCACATCATGTATATACACAATTGTACACACTCCAAATATACACATACACTTTTACATGCCCATACATACACAGACACACTCATACATATTTGAACATACAAACCCAGACATACACACTTATACATACACCCTCATAAAATGCATACATGCACTCATGCTGATACAGACACACACGCACCAACACCTTTATACACACATACACTCATACATCCATACACATACCTGAAGAAAGAGCTAGAGGGTGAAGTGAAAATGATGAGGAGAAAATGGGATGAACTGCATGTGATAGCAAAGAATAGGTTGACTTGGTATGAATTGGTGTTGGGACTATACTGTATTGGCCCCAGTCATTTTCTGTTGCAGCATGTCACCATGTGTCTGTTGGTGACGTGTATCTTCTTTACATTCATTGGCTGTAAACTCCAACTGAAAGTTCTGGTTGTTCGTCCAGTTCTGCACGTTAATCTTGTTCCAAAACTTGAGATTTGCACGCACATCAGTTTTACAGATCTGGCTTATTTGTATTCAGACTGTTGTTTCCTCAATAATCTAAGAAAATTGTTGTGATGCATTGACTGTGCCAAAGTTGTATTTTCAGATGCAAGTTTACGAATTATCAAGCTTTTAAATAACCTAAAATAGGGGCAGTTGAAAAGCTTAGTTTGTAAAATAATAAGCTTCAGAGATTTGTTGGTTGACTTTTTTTAGAGGAGTACATATATCGGAAGGTCGTTGGTTTGCATCCTGGCGAATCCTGACTTTTTTCAAAAATGACCTTGCTCCCAGGTCGACCCAGCCTTGAGTGGGTACCAGCTGCAGTCCTGTAAAGGCGGCCAGCGTGATGCTGACATCATCACCCACCTAGTGCTGATAGGTCTATAAAAATATAGGTCTAGCCCTATATTCCCAATATGCCTAAAGATGTGGAAAAGGGACCTTTACTTTACACATATATATTCTTCTTTCTTCTTGGTGTTCACCAGCTGTACACTCTGGTGGAAAGTTCTGGTTGCTCGTCCATTACTGAACTGCAGTCCTGTTCCAGAACCTGAGTGTTGTGTGTGCATCAGTTTTACAGATGTCATTCTCTTGAATACAGACTGTTGGTTCCTTGTCTCTCTGGCAGATGCACTCCGACTTCAAAGGAAGCTCCCCAATTTGTCGACTCTTACGACATGCTTTTGGGAAGGCAATGGGTCTATTCTTGTTTTCCCCACAATGGGGCCCCGGAACCCACACGGGGGTTTACATATATATATATATATAGTTCAGTCAAATGTATAGGCAGTAGTAAAGACAGTTGCAAGATTGCATTTAGGTGGGGAGCATATTGGTAACAAGATCATTCCACATCTAAGGATTGAATAGAGATAGTATCTACTGTGTCACCATTGACAATTTTTCGTCTTTCCAGACTAGATTGTTATATTGTGCCATGTGGTGGGGGTGGGGGTGTTTTGCTGTGAAGTTCCTTTGTTCGTTCATTCTATCCTGAGCATAAAGCCATGGCGCAGTGTTATAGAGACTTTATGTTGCCCATGTAGCATGATCTCTCTTGGCCCGCCATGTTTACTGCAAAGGAAAGGCAACTCCAGTATTTTTGAAACAAAGCAAACTGCAGAAGCTGCCGGATCAGACGAGTGGTGCTCTGCCTATCTGTCTGTCAGGGCTACCTTCCTAGACCAGCTGTCAACCGTAGCTGAGGGCCCGGTCTGCCCTGCCATAACATGTTGTTTTCAGGTTACATTTCACTGTGCCACCACATCAAAGCTCTATATAATTTTATTAATCTTGTTTAAAAAGCGTTAGAAGAAAACAGTTTATGTCATCTGTACAAGACCAATAGCAGTAGACGAACAAAGGATGTTTAGCACTTGTAACTCTAACAGCATATCATTCCAACATTGAGCTACCACTGGCAAACCTGGACATTATTGAAGGCCCATGTATGCATAATTACCAATTCCCAGATGAGATGCCTGAGAAGAGCTGCCAACTGGCTATCCGAGATAGAGTGAATAATGATAGTATCAGAAAAATTGTAGGAATGACAACTTATACTGGATCCATCGAGAATCAGCAGATGAAGTGGTTTTGCCATCTCGTTAGAATGCAACAACCATCACAGGCACCATCTGTTAGATCATCTACAAGAACATGTAGATTCCCACACACACAAAATGGATCGACGGCATTAAAGACAATTTCCATCCTCACAGCATGACAATAGCCAGTGCCAGCCAGCATACACTGCTCCTCCCCATGACGCTTAACATCGGAGTAGTTTATGATGATGATGAAACAAAGGATGTTGCTGTTGTAAACCTGTTTCATAGAAACAAATTTTAAACAATGTCAGTCTTGTTTGTGTTTTTGTTATCTCAGCTTTGCTGCAACACCAGAAAAGACAGATGCAGAAACTTCAAGAAGAAATCAGTCACCACCGAGTCATCGTAAATAAGTTACATTCAGAAGTGAGTGTCATGGAGAGGAGCATGATAGAGTCTCATCATGTCAATAGAAGTCTTCCTTCGGTGAGTATTCACACCTGTCTTTTCTCTGCTCTTTCTCCACAAAGTGTGGGAAGGGGGGATGTAAGGACTGTCTGTGTACTCTTACTAATGCAGTGTATAAGTTGGTCTTAACCCTTTAGCCTGTCGCCCAGAGAAGCAATAAAACCAACACTTACGATTGGGTCAGATTCCCCGTAAATGTCACTTTAGTGACTACTGAAGTGGCGTATTTTCATGATTTATAGCTAACAGCATCTGTATCCTATGTGCCTCCCCAACTGTTTAGGGGAACCAGAATCTATTATATTTACTAAGAATGTTATGTTAGGGGGGAGGGGTGGGGGTTTAACTTGTTAACAGCTGACTTGAAAGAACAAAATAGAAATTGGGACGTCATAGTTTCCCATTATCACAAGTGTTACCTAGTTTAGTAGGTCAGGTACGAGTCACCACATAATTTGTTTACAAAATATGTAGAGGTCATTAGTTGCCAAAAAGGTATTTTAGATACATGGTCTAATGCACTACTTTTTCTTTTGATGTTTATGAAGTGGGACAGATTTGTCCCTGGCTTGAGGATGAATAGAGTCATATGGATATCTGCAGCCCTGGCTTGTGAACTGGGTAGCAGCTGTCCTGCATTCACATATGGTTTCCCTTCACCAGGGTACATGGACATCAGAGCCATGTAATATAGCCCCGGGACTACTTCAGGGTTCTGCAATTTCACGGGTGCTCATTAGTGTGTATGCAAGCAAGATTGCAGAACTTGAAGCGCCAGGTGTTGGAAGGATATTGACATTTGCCAATGATATTCTTCCATATAGGCAAGGGAGTGACAGACAACGGATAGCCCAAGAGCTGCAGGCAGCTGTAGACAAAGTGACTGACTGGTGTGCAGAAATGGGTGCTGTCATCAACCCAGAAAAGGCGGCTGTTTTGTGGTGCTCTCTGGGCAGTAGAATTATAAAAGCGAAGGTTTCAAGCCTCACAGTTATTAATAACAGTAACATCAAAAGAGAACGCAAACTGAGGTACCTTGGTATCACTTTCGATAGAAGCCTGTCCTATAGGGAACATGTGGAGGCAGTTGCGGTGAAATGCCAAAAAAAGGACTCAGTGCTCTCAAGTTAATGGCAGCAATGGACATGGAACAAAGAATGCTGTTCACAGTGTTTCAGTATGTGATCCTGTCGGTGATAGATTACGGACTTGGAATGCTTACCATATCAAAGAGTCGGCTGATAAAACTTGAACAAATACAGAATGAAGCTATGCGGGTAATTCTGGGATGTACAAGAGATATCCCGGTAGTATATATGAGATATATACTTGCACTGTCTACTAATGCAGATAGACTCTGCATAAGTTCTGCAGGCAAAGTCATATCTCAGAGTAGCAGCAGACAAGAAGCACCTCCTGCATGAAGCCCTGGGTAGAGCTAAGGGTCACAGACTGAAAAGAGGAAGGTCTTGGATGGCGCAAGCTGAAGACACAATTGGACATGTGTGCAGGCTTGATAAATTTGAGTGAGGAGAGCAGTGGGTCAAGGTGTCCGAACAAGTTTCAGACTTGTGTAGGGTTCTTATCACTTTAGGTCATGAGTACAGAGACTGACCAGCTGGTGCTGCAGAATCAGAAGTTCAACAAAGGTTTCATGACATTTCCCGCGCAGGTGATGTGATTATGTATATGATGACTCTGTGTTGAGGGGCAGACGAACTGCATGTGGGTTCATAGCAAAGTCGAATGGACATCACTTAGTGCAGCAAAGCCTTGCATATGATATCACAATGTCAAGTTTGAGAATGGAGGTGGAGGCAGTCTCTGGGAGAATCAGCTGTACACACATGCCGTGATTGTAACTGACTCACAGAGCATGTTGAGAAAGGTGAAGACAGGCATGCTTCGTGCAGAGTGGCAAGCTTCACTTCAGAGGTCCTGGGTAGTTAGCATCCTTTGGATATTTTCTTCAGGTCATGCAGGTTGGGAAATGAGCAGGCAGATAGACTGGCTGGCTCTGCACCACTTGGTGGTAAATTGATGTATGACAAGCTAGAAATTGTGAGAGCCTTTTGATAACGAGTGAACAGTGCTGATGCACTGGTCTGAGGAGAATGGCGCTGCGAGGAGTGATCAGATGTGGTCGACGCTCAACACACAGGGAAAGGATGAGACAGATATACAATCAGACGGCTACTGGTGCCATCGTAATTGGAACTCTTCACTTGCTGCTGAAGATGGGGACGGGGCGCTAATGGGAGTGTCCCGAGTGCTGTGACATCGATTCTTAAGCACCATTCAGCATTAACTCTCATTAGTTGTAATAAGGGCCCATAACTTTTAAACCAAGATAATTCCAGTTAGATTTGCATGGGTGGACGTGTTGCTTTCATGTGTCAAAAGAGATGTTAAATGTCTCAGCACCAAATTTGCTTTTGCACATCTGATGCTTCCTATGTCAACCCAGGGTTAAATGGGTACCAGGTAAAAGTCCAGGGAAGTAAAGGTGGCTGGAGTGATGCTGACGACATCACCCACCAATTGCCGATTGATTTAAAAACTATAAGTGTAACCCAATATTTCCAGTGTGGCTGAAGTTGTGGAAAAGGTTCCTTCACATCTCATGCTAATACTATGTCCGCATGTTTGAAGATTACAATTTCAGTCACTTGCAGGCAGTTCTTCATCTAATCAAAGCAATGTTTCCCCGATGTAAATTTGAACAAAGAAGACACAAACAATAGACTGCACAATTTATTGCCTGGCATATTTCGCTGTATCTCATCAGGTGCATACTACAGTAACAATTAATTAAAATGAAGCAAATAGCTGAATCCTAGAAACTGAAACACAAATTCGAGTAGATTTCAAACTGTTTCACCAAGGTAAACGTAGGGCAACAACCATTTCTTTTTGCCTACAAAGTTCCGGTTTCAATCTGCCAATCGCTGAAGCTTCCGCGTATCGAAGTAATCTACGGTTAGCCGAATTGTAAATAATTCGGAATGCATCATCCCTGTTAATGATGTGCCTGGAATTTAGATTATGGCACGCAGTTGCTGATGATGGATTATTTCGACAAGTCACCTGATTCGGTGTTGTTGAGGTGTTAGTGTTCTGCATTGCTTTTACCACCCATAGTGGAATATGTTCAGCAACCCGTTGTTCCAGTCGTCGATCAGTTCTGCCCACATATGCAGCGTTAAGGTGCATTTAAATTGGTTTGAAATCTACTCGAATTTGTGTTTCAGTTTCTAGGATTCAGCTATTTGCTTCATTTTAATTAATTGTTACTGTAGTATGCACTTGATGAGATACAGCGAAATATGCCAGGCAATAAATTGTGCAGTCTATTGTTTGTGTCATTTTTGTTCAAGTTCTTCATCTGTTAATATTTTGATAAATTAGTTCTTTAGTGAAAATATGTGTGAAGTTTTATTTTTCTACCTATTCTCTGCTACTTACAGTATCAACATTAATTGTGCTCTTGCTCGATAAATAACTGCACCTTTTTAATTTTCTGAAGCCATTCTATACTAGTTGGAATTTTTTTTTACTTAGGGGTTAGGAATGCAGTTTTATATATCTGATAGCCACAAGCAGTTTGGCAACAACGAATTATGAAAGGAGATTTAAAAAAAAATTAAGTTAAATACTTCAATCATATTAAAAGACATAACACTGTTTTAAAAACCGTAGTAAAGGGGAAAGTTGAAGGCATACAAGCAAGAGGTAGACAAGGATACAAGTGAGAGGGTAACATCAAGAGATGGGAAAACAGCAATGTGAGAGCTTGTACATCTAGGTTGCAAGACAGAACCATTTTGGAGATCCATTGTAGTCAACCTTCATTGTGGAAATGGCCCTTGATTAATTAATGGTAGTGGGATCTTTGCTGTTTACCTTTATATTTTTTTTTACTTTTCACTTACATGTATGTATTTTTACAGTTTACTTAAATTCATATATATATATATCTTTCTGTAAATTTTTACTTATAATTATATATTTTTACTTTTCACTTACATTTATTTACATATATTTTACTAACATTTATTTTTCACTTTAAAAAAAAGTTTTTTCTCTCTGAACATTTAGATATTTTCTACAGTTTACTTGCAATTCAGAATTTTTTAAATTTTTTCATTTTCACATGAATATTTACAGATTGAAGATATTTCTTGGCTTTGTGAAAAGAACAGACAACTCCAGACAGATATACAACTGTACATGAATGAGGTAGACGTGTACAGAAGTGGCCAAAGTAAGTTCCTCTTGGTTGTGGAAAAGCTGCTGCTGTTGCTACTACTGCTGCTAGTGTAACTTCTGTTGCTACTACTGCTGCTCCTGTTTGCAAGCTTTAATGTTTGTTTTGAAATAGTGGATAATAGTTTTGAACACACGTAAAACATGTTTTTTGCTGTTCTGCCTGCATCACCATTAAACATCATCAGCCGATTTAATTTTAAGCAGCTGTATATAATGTTTTTGTCTTATCCACAGCTCCATTAACCATTTTGCTCATAGATGCCGCTAATCTTGCAATGCCACATTTTTCAAATCCCTATTGAAGCTGCTTACCTGGCATTGCTGCAGTGGCACATCTCCTTCATGACTAGTCAATGACACTGGTTCTCTTTATGCCTGTGCAGTGTTTAGGAGGGCCAGATAATTTTATTTACAAACAAATGCGTGATTGGGGGGTTATTTGGAATGGAGGGGGGGGGGGGGAATCTTTTGGATTATGGGGCCAACATTTTTTTTTACTCTTTACTTAGGGGCCACATAACAATAGGCTTATTAGGTCGGTCACAAAATGAGTCCTTTTTACATTTAAAAAATTAGGCACATGTGGATGTAATCTATTTAATTCTCCACTCTGTTCATCTTTAATAATGACTAACTTTCATATCTTTAAAAAATTATCTTTTAAATTTTTTAATTTACGTAAATAAATTGTGGAAACGTTTTTTTTAGTGATGTTTGTAACACCCCCACCCCCACACTAAGGGGTTTTAAATTCTAAGATTCATTGCTTTTTTCTGTTTCCAGTAAAAAGGGTTACATATCTTAATCATCATCATCCACTTACATTTTAACCCAGTCACCCTGTTAAGCCACAAAACTGACACTTCTGCTTAGGTCCAGTTTCCCAAAAATGTTCTTAGCCGACTTTCTTACAGTGACATAATTGTAATGCTGTTGGTTGTGTTTACCCACAAGACACCTAATTGTAATGCTGTTGGTTGTGTTTACCCTTGCGCATCATTTAGGAACATAGCATGGCTATTTAAAAACCTCATAATTTTCCTGTTAGCATTAGTGTTACAATTCAGATGACATCAGGGGTCGTGCTACAAGTCAACCGATAAATTTTTTCAAGACCTAAGGGAATGCAATCCAGTTAGTTCTTGACTCCACTTATGTTTGTGTTTGTTGATGATGAGGTTACATATTTTCTGAAATATTTTGTAGTGTATGTAAATAAATGTAAACATTTTTTTGCGACTTGTGGAAAATTCTTGGGGGGGGGGGGGGGGGGGGGGGGGGGGGGGGGGGGGGGGGGGGGGGGGGGGGGGGGGGGGGGGGGGGGGGGTTTGTGGATTCATGACCCATTTTTTTCTTAGTGTTTCTGGAGTGAAAGGGTTAATCAACCAAGTATAACACATTGTTGTCCCATCTACAGCACCATTAAACAGCATCAGCCCACGTGATCAACAGAACTTCTTTGAGAACATGCCCACAGGCCAGCAAGATCCCATCTACTCACTGTCTCCTGGCAGACGATTGTGTATGTCTTTTTCTTTCTTTCTTTTTTGTTTAGATGGATGTTTAACGCTTTCTTTCTTTCTTTCTTTCTTTCTTTCTTTCTTTCTTTCTTTCTTTCTTTCTTTCTTTCTTTCTTTCTTTCTTTCTTTCTTTCTTTCTTTTCTATCTTTCTTTCTTTCCTTTGCTAATTCTTTCTTTCCTTTGCTAATTCTTTCTTTCTTTCTTTCTTTCATTGTCCTTCCTTTCTTTATTTCATTCTATCTAAATCTCTATCTGCTATGTTAACCTTTTGTTCTGTCATTCCTTCTAACTCTATGTATAATGTTTGTGAGACATCTGATTGACAGTACTGTATATTAACTCTTTCAGTCCCAAGAAACGCATCATCAGTTCATAGGTTCCTACCTAAAAGCCAGTAAACACAAGATGTGCCAATTTTAGGTCCCTGTCTACTACACCTTGAGGCTCTGATGCTAAACCCCTTTGGATCTGAAAGAGTTAAGCAGGGGCTGCACAATGGAAATTATATGTGAATATGCATATTGTGCTTTAAAAAAATAAAATGGGAATTTTAAAGCACACGTCTCTTCCATGGTACATCTCTCATACCATTGTCTCTTCCTATTCCGCTCACCGCTGGGAAAAATTAACTCTGGTACATTGTGGATTGTAAAACACATTCACTATGCCACTGAAGCACACACGCATTCACACACACACACAATAAAAGAAATGCAATATATATATATATATATTTTTAAACATATAATATGTATTCAACTGCCTGTTGTATTGCAGCACCTACAGGGCCTCCCCCTCCACCTAGACCGCCTCCGCCTATTCCTATGAGGCAGCGCTCTAATGAGTCAGGACAAGCAGCTGGAGGGGCTGTGTCTGGAGTTGACATTTTCCGTGTGCCTGCTGCCCCATCTGCTCAACAGTTGCTCACCTCTGGGGACCCCGAGGAGGGAGAGTTGCCTTGGAGCTGCTCAGCGTGTACTTTCTCCAACCATCCAGCGTTAAGGAAATGTGAGATGTGTGAAATGCCACGAGTGATTCCACCTCATGCGACTTTATCTCTAGGCCCACGGTCACTAAACCCACAGCAGTCTATGTCACCACGACTGCCACCTGGTTCTAGTCTGCTGAGTAATATGCATCCACGATCAGACTCTCCTCATTCGGTTCTGGGCCATCATTACCATAGAGCAGGTGAGTTTTTCTCATGTTTCCAGGTACTCAGATCCACAAAGAGTCAGATTTAGAAAAAAAAATTATAGGCTCTGAGGTCGACCCAGGCTAAAATGGTACCAGATCAAGTCATGAGAAGTAAATTTGGCCAACATGATGTTGGCCATGTCACCCACCAAATGCTGATTGGTCTGTGAAATATAGGTCTAAGGACTATATGCCTAATGGCATACGAGAGGGTCCTTTAAGTCATTACAAACTATGAGAAGGCAATGGAAAAAGATACTGTCAGAAACAACTAAATCTTTCCTAACTACTTCTTCTTCTTCCGTGTTAGACCTTGAAAAGATGATTGGCATGTTGTGTTGTGGTTTACAGCTAGGCTAAGATATCTTCACCTTTCTGCCCAACACTTCCGATTTCAGCAAACCCCCAATTAGTCACCTTTTACTTTGGAGATGCCAGGAACCAACAGTCTTCATACAAATAAAGTGGATGTGCATGTAAAACTAAAGTTCTGGATCACGACTGAAATCCAGGAATGGACAAACAACCGGAACTTTGCGCTAGAGTTTACAGCCAGTGAATGCCAAGAAGAGGAAGAAAAGAAGAATATCATGGAATGTTTGGAAAATAAATGAGTCAGTCCTTTAGACGTAGACAGTGTTTTTCGGACATGTGAAGAGGAGGAATGAGAACTTGACAAAGCAGGCAATATTTGTAGAAAAAGAACAATGGATGGACAAAGGCAGCCAGAAAAACTAACGATAATTAAAAAAGCAAGTTTCTTCTTGGTTCTTACTTTACACCTTACATTTCTGTTTTAAATACCACATCTGTAATCTTGAAAATCTAGAATGAACACACACTGTATTGAGAATTATTGAAGTGAGCCACATCATTGCTGAATATCTAATAGTCTTCTTCTTAGCGTTTGCCAGCATGCAAGTTCTGGTTGTTTGTCCACTTTTAGAGTTTAGTCTTGTTCCAGAACTTGAGTTTTGCCTGCTTATTTGTAAGTAGACTGTTGGTTCCTTGCCTACTCTGACTTCAAAGGAAACATCCATAATTAGTACACATTTATGGCATGTTTGTTGGGGGGGGGGGGGGAGTGCCACCTTCTTCTTTTGTCCTCAAAATAGGGCCTTAGAACCCACACGAAGAGGCTGTCTATTAGTGAAGGTGGCTGTGTTCTCTCATTACAAAATAGGGCCCCAGAACCAACACGAGGAGGCTATCTACTAGTGAAGGTGGCTGTGTTCTCTCATTACAAAATTGGACCCCAGAACCCACACGTGGAGGCTATCTAGTAGTGGATGTTTCTGTGTTCTCTCATTACAAAATTGGACCCCAGAACCAACACGAGGAGGCTATCTAGTAGTGGAGGTGGCTGTGTTCTCTCATTACAAAACAGGACCCCAGAACCCACACGAGGAGGCTGTCTAGTAGTGGAGATGGCTGTGTTCTCTCATTACAAAACAGGACCCCAGAACCCACACGAGGAGGCTGTCTAGTAGTTGAGGTGGCTGTGTTCTCTCATTACAAAATAGGGCCCCAGAACCCACACGAGGAGGCTATCTAGTAGTGGATGTGGCTGTGTTATCTCATTACAAAATTGGACCCCAGAACCAACACGAGGAGGCTGTCTAGTAGTGGAGGTGGCTGTGTTCTCTCATTACAAAAAATAGGGCCCCCAGAACCCACACGGGGAGGCTGTCTAGTAGTGGAGGTGGCTGCGTTCTCATTACAAAATAGGGCCCCAGAACCCACACGAGGAGGCTGTCTCTCATTACAAAATAGGACCACTGAAAATGTAGACAGCACTTTAAAAAAAATTATTTCATCATCATTTTTTGGGGTTGCTTATATGCCACATAGAAGTTCATGGGTAGGTACCTGACTTTAAAAAAAAAATGAATAACCTTGGCTCCCAGGTCGACCCAGCCTTAAACGGGTACCAGGTGGAGTCCTGTGAGGTAAAGGCGGCCAGCATGAGTCTGACCACATCCCGCATCAAGTGCTGATTGGTCTATAAAATATAGGTCTAGCCCTACATGCCCAGTACACCTGAAGGCATGCAGATGGTCCTTTATTTTTGTTTACTTATCTGCCACATAGAGCTCACAATCTGTTTGTCCACTGCATTCTGTCCTATGCACTCTTTTCACCATTGTGGATACAATCCATTTCTGCATCTTTTAACCTGTATTTTATGTAGTTGTAAATAATTCATTGGGCAGTCAGAGTTAATTGACAAGCAGACTTTTGGTCATGTTTCCACTGGCATCAACAGCATGAGAACTCTTCATTGGCTACGGAAGCACAGAACAGATCACATGTGGGAAAGTCCCTAGTGCAGCAATGTTGATTCTTGAAACATTCATTGACTTCACAGAAGTATGCACAGGAAATTCAGCATTAAGGACCTCAGAATTGAACCAATTTGGACTGGCACCCGAAAACTGAAAATGTGCTACAAACATGTTTTCTACATGTGGTAGAGAGATCCCAGATCTTGCCAGTTGGCATTCAGGTGGAAGCTAAGCTGTATGAGTTAGGTGGCGACATGTATCACTTCTTCTTCTGTCGTCTCACTGATACCAGGTTGTAGTTCAGTGTTGCGGTTTTCTATATTTGTCTTGTGCTTTTCAGGTGGCTTAGGTGATAGATTTATCTTTGTACTGGTTTCGGCCTCACCATTTATCCATCTCCTTCTTATCTGAAAACTACTTCCGGATGAATGAAAAGCAGAGGAAAAGAAAAAGAAACATTCACTCTTTCACTTATTTACTCCTCAGGCACATAGGTGGAGCCGGCTCATCCTGGTTTCATTTGATTAAGTTGATCATCTAGGAATAGCTGACCACTTTCAGAAAAGTTGCTGGGAAGCAGAACTGCTGCTTGTTCTCTTATCGTGATCACCACATCGAATGTGTTTTATTTCTTGCTGCTTGCAGAACTGCTGAAGGAGATCAAGCACATTTGTTTCAATGTATTTATTGTGTTATCTTCAGAATGCTGATGCAGCTGTGTTTTATCATTGGTTATAGAAAAGCAGTGTGAATTTGTATAATGTTTGTAAATTAAGGTGACAATAATCTGAGAAGTACATGTACTCTGGAAATGTCCTTGGAAATAAAGGTGGGTGGCTTGTTGTTGACCTTATCATCCATTGCGTACCATTTATTGGTCTGTGAAAATGGGAATCTAGAATCATCCGCCCAGTGCTCCGCTGGCAACCTATACTATTTGACTATATGTACTGTATAAAGAATGGTGCCCTTATAAGCAATGTAAGCAGGTTTAAAACAAAAAAATTATGTTTTTATATTTATCTAGAAGAGTGCAATTTTAATATGCAATTTTTACTGTAAGATTTAGTCCTCGCAATGTGAACAGAAATACGAAATACTTTTGAAATGTGAGTGAAATAGGATACCTAACATGGATCTCTGCCGACACAAATCTATGCCAGTCAGGTGATTCAACTTGTAAGCAGTCTTGAGAATGTGTATATGAGGTTTTAATGTTGTCTTCTATATTTTTATGATGGCTTCATTTGTGGACACATCTGGCAGTGACTGCAGTTATGGGATTGAAGACTTCTATATGTCTGTCTATATCTTCTCCGTGTGGTAGATGACACATAAGACCTTCACAAGTTTTGCTTAGTGCTCACCGGCTATAAACTCTGGCTGAAAGTTCTGGTTCATCTGCTGGACTTTTGTCTTGTTCCAGGAATTAAATTTTGCATGCACATCCCTATTATTGATCTGGCTATTTTTTATGCAGACTGCTGGTTCCTTGCCTCTCAGGCAGATGCACGCCAACTTCAAAAGAAATACCTGTATCCAATCGATTTTTACGACATGCTTGTTATTGGCTCAGAGGGTCTGTTTTCCCAAAATGGGGCCCTGGAACCCATACAGGGACTTCACAAATGATCTCCATTGCATTCAGTCTCCTGTTTTTGTGCCCATGGTATCCCATATCAGTTTACATTCCGATGTGGAGAGAAGCAATCACGATACCTCTTCTTAAACCAGAAAAGGACAGTTCTGATGCCTCCAGCTATAGACCAATCAGTCCTACCAGCTACCTCTGTAAAACAATGGAACGTATTGTCAACCTCAAACTCCAATGGGACTTAAGAAGTGAAAACATCTTCATGCCGCAGCAGGCAGGATTTAGACTGCTACTCCACAGAAGATCAGACAACTTACCTTTCGCAAGAAAATGAAGATGCCTTCCAGGAAAAGAAGATGGTCCTAGCAGCATGGATAGATCTGAAGAAAAAATTTGGACAAGGTCTGGAAAGAAGGTGTACTGAAGAAACTAAGAGACTGCAGGGTGAATGGGAATATGTACAAATGGGTGTAAGCATACTTGTATAACAGAAGATCCCGAGTACAGATAGATGGACTCAAGAAGAAGAAAGTTTTGCTGCACCATGGTGTCCCACAAGGAGGTGTCCTGTCCCCCACACTCTTCCTAGTCTATATCAATGACCTGCTTTCTGAACTACCCCAATGGAATTAAAGCTGCAATGTATGCTGATAACTTGGTACTCTGGTGTACAAATGAACATGCAACAGTCGCCACCAGACTGCTACAAAGAGCCATAGATGCAAAAGGCTGAATGGGTCTGATCAATAGTGTGTCAGCATCAACATAGGCAAATGCAGCACCACCCTCTTCACCATCTCTCCAAAACAAAAATCAGGTGTCATGCACATAAATAGAGTACCCCTGAGAGAGGATAAGGAGCCCACATACCTCTGAGTCACGTTTGATGATAGGTTAACATGGAGAAAACACATCAACAAGGCAGCAGCCAAAGCCAGAAGAAAAGTAGCCATCCTGAGAAAACTAAGGGGAACAACATGGGGTGCTTGTGGGAAAATACTTAAAAAAGTTTACCAACAAAGTGTTCAACCACACCTTGAATATGGATCAACAGCATGTAGTTCGGCATCAAAAACCACACTACAAGAATTAGACAAAGTGCAAAATAAAGCATTGAGAGTTACCACAGGCAGTATAAAATCAAAAACCTATAGCTGTAATGGAGAAAATGGGGATGACCCAAGCACTGAGTGAACGCAGAGAAACTAGATGCTAATACAAGCAGAAAAGTTTTTTAGCATGCCTAGTCACACTGTGAATTAAAGATCTAAAATCTAGCTCTGGGATGACAAACTACTGATCTGCCTGCAACTGATAGCCCTTTAAATGCTGTTCCAGAATGGACACCCTGGATAGAGGAGTAAAAATCTCCAATACACATCAAGACAGAATTGAAAGGAGTATTTGACAAGAAAGAACAAAACAATGTGCAGCGTAAGACAGCCACCCTTAGTCTACTTGATGATGAATACCTTCAGAATCTTTGGGTTCGTGTTTACACAGATGGGTCATTAGAAAATGCAATCAGAAATGGAGGGGCAGGAGTGTACATTAAGTGTCTTAATAATACCATTGATACAGCTAAAATATCAGCAGGAAAGCACTTTCACAGCTATTAGAAGTTCAAGATAGCGGCAGAGAAACTACTAAATACCAGGAATTTTTCGCATAAAACCTCTGGTATTCCTAAGGCACTCTCCGTCTAGAAAATTACCAAGTATACGGAAACTATTATCCTAACTAGGCAACAGTTGTAAATTAGTTATGCAGTGGATACCATCCCACTGTCGTGTTCCCGGAAATGAAAGAGCTGATAAACTAGCTAAGGAAAGTTCAACTGAAGAACAACCCGACATACCAGTCTCTTATCAACAGAAGAAGAGAATAATCAAATCAATCATATTGTTAAGAGTGGCAAATGCTTGGTTAGCTTCAGTTAAAGACTTAACTGATGGTACAATTGTTGATTGCTAGAAATGACAGAAATCCATTGGCTGGCATTGGTGGGGTGGCATCAGTGGAGTTTATAGTCAGAGCTGTTTACAATTTCACCACTAGTGAAGATTGTTAAGAATATCTGAAGGTAACACTGGTGGGTCTGTCACAGTCAGTACAGGAACTGAGTATTACCAGCCAAATTTATTTGTCTCATTCTTATGTTATGAGGCATGTTTGGCCACAAAGCAATACTGGTCTGGGAGAAGAAACCTGGCCAGCTACCTGGAATCAAACTCTGGACCAGTTTTTTGGTAGACAAAAACCCTTAACTTCAAGACCAGGGCTATTCAGTTCAGATTTGGCCCACGGAGGCCTAGCAAGTGACCTGCGGATCGTTACAGCATGTATCTTTCTATGCTGGGGCTAGGGCCTTTGGCCCGTCGCGACCACCCGTTTTCTAAATTGTGGCCCCTGAGTAAAACTTAGTTAAATAGTCCTGGTCTGGTATCTTCTGTCTGGTTACCATTCCAGGCTGTTACCGGATGATTTAAACTCCTATATGACTTTGAGATTCGCACTCTGGATGGTAATTTCTTTGTTAAAAGCCAGATACCCTGTTCAGCCTCCAAGAAAGTTTAAATTAAGGTGCAGATAACACCCTTACCAAGTAGTGCACCCTGCAGCCCTGTGTAAGTGAGTGACTGTAGACTATCACAGGACTCATCATCATCATCATCATCATCATATAGCAGGTCCTTTGCAGAACGTCCCTCTCATCACGGTCTGCCTGAAAGAAACTATGTCTCTCGCCAGCTCTCCCGCCTCATGAACTTTCATACTCAAGGAGTCACTTATATCCTGTGCCCATCTTCGTGTTGGTTGGCCCCTGCACCTCCTTCCAGGTACCATGCCTTCTGCTATAATTTTTTTTAATCCGTCGTGGCGCCTGATGTGACCAAAATATTTCAGCTTCTGGTACAGGATGCTATTTATTAGCCAATCTTCCTGGATATTCAGATCTTTCACGATGTCAGTATTCCTCCTCTTTTTCATCCAAGATATTCTGAGAATCTTTCTATAGCATTTAAGCTCAAAAGCCCCTATTCTCTTTCTTAAGGACAGATTACAGAACTACTAATGTATGTATGGTATCCAGAAATATGCTGTTTTACATAATAATACAAATGAGTGCGAGTTGCCTGTCTTTTACAGGACAGAGAGAGAGAGAGAGTCATATAGAATAAGACTGTAATAAAGTCAGTCCTGAATGCAACGAACCACACATGGTCAAGATATGTCTGTACATTTCCATGGTCATTCTGGAAACAGATTCATATTCCTGAGCCTGACAAAGAATAATCGCAATAACACAGAAACTCAGAGTGAAAAATGGGGGCTGCATGAATCAACCAGTAAACATTTGGTGAGTTAAGAAGGATGGTGTGAGTTAACAAGATATGACAATCACTAAGTTGACTGCTGCTTGTTGTGTGAGCGGGCATGGCTTTCTGCGATGAGTAGCTCTATGCTAGATCATTGTTTTGCCAAGCTTTATATATGTGCCTTACCAGTTTAACTCATTAACTACTACGAGCCATTGGTGTTGCCCAACTTCATGCATCTTGGATTTTTTTTTTTTAAAATTTAGTTGCATATCCTTCACAGGACGATGCAGAACCAAGCCCAGCATTTTGGCTGTTGTGGTTTTTCTAGGCAACTTTTACGTTCAGTAGTTTGCCATTGGTTGTGAACGGTCAGCTCTCGATACCACTGTAAAAACCAACTTTAAATCCACTAGTTGTTCTTCTGGATTAGAGGATTGTGAACAGATTTCACAGTTTTGATAAACTGAGGTTTAAAGTCTGCTGCAGGTGATTTGGTATCAGGCATCTTTGCTTTAATCTTTACAACTATTAAGAAATCAGTGGCAAAGATTAAATTATATACAAAGATACAAAAAAG